AAGTATATCAAAAAAATCAAGAAAGACAGTTGAGGAAAGAAAGGATCAGGGTGGGAAAACAAAGCAAATAATAAAAGTCAAAACTTAAACAATGCCCCCTAAAAAAAGCAAAAGAAACATGAAAAACTAATAAATGAAGAAGAAAATAAAATTCCTTCGGTGCCCACGATTCTGTGGTAGTGTCCAAGTCAGAGCCCGGATCTGTACTGGGTAACTTCGCCAAGTCTGCAGCGGGATTAGTGCTGGGTGGGGGTTGGTCTTGGCCTCCAGATGCGAGGCTTTAGCCAGCAGCTTTCTGGATAAACCATCTCTGTCTCTTTATTTACCCTATTTGTCTCTGCATCACTCTCCCAGTTGCTATGGTGCACACAGACAGAGACGGCCCAAGGCTGCTCCCAGACCCATATACAGTGGGCCCCTCCCGGACCTTGTGCAGCCTCCTCTCAAGTTAAACACTACTGGCCCCTCTCGAGTTCTGGGGGAGCAGGTGATTTGCTTTCCCCTCCTTGTCCCCACCAACTGAGGCTGCTTGCGCTGCTGGTCGCCGTGTACGGGGAGTGCTGACTTAAGGCCCCAGGCTTCTTAATCCAACGTCCATGGTCCCTGTCCCTCTTGTGCACGTTGCAGGGTGGGAGAGGTCATACTGTTCCGCTCACTGTCCCTCCCACTGCTGTGGTCCCTAACTTTGTTGTTGCTAGAGGCTCCATCCAGTTAGCCTCTATGGCTCAGGACAGAGAAAACAAGCAAACTGGTGGTCATAGGGGAGGGAGCAGCTTCCTAATTGCTCTCCCCAGTGTATGCAGGTGAAGTTTGCTGCCAGGTTGCAGTGTCCCCTGCGGGAAAGCAAAAGAGGTGAGGGACCTTTTACTCCGGATCTCTCCTGTGTGGATGGAGTTTGCAACCCTTTTGCAGTCTCCGTTTTTTGAGAACTTCCCAGGAATGGTGGTTCCTGCTCTGTATGCAGGCAGTAGATCCAAAGACAGCCCTGTAGGCTGGACAATCATCTTCTAAAATCCTATGCCTGTGTTTTGTTTGATGTACAAGTCTCTCCTTTTCTTGCAGTTGCCTGTGTTCTTGGTTGATTTTCTCTGAGTAGCTCCAACGTGGCTTCTCCTCTATTCAGTCACATTTAATCCTCCTTGAAACTTTTAGTGAAAAAATCTATTATGCAGATAAGTGACTTAAAAAGTCATCAACTAATGCTACTTAAAATATTTATTTAAATTAACCGTGTCTTACAGTATGGATAGAATACTACTCTGATATCATCTAACAAATTAATGTAGGAAACAATGCAAGTATTTCCATTGAAATCAACAACATGTTGATCGTAGCCACTTCCAACACCCACAATTTAAAGGAAAGGTTCAGGTTGCCTCATGGTTTCAGTCCATGGTCTACTAGCTCCAAGGCTGAAATAGGATGACAAAGGACTATGACAGGGAAAAAGGTGCTCAACTCAGGGCTGCCAGATACAGACAGAGAGAGACCAAGAAGGAGCAGGAATACTAACAGACCTTTTGAGGTCATTCCCCCTGTAACCCACTTCTAGCCAGCCGCATGTCCCAACAACACATTCGTTAATCCACTACTGAGTACAGAAGCCCCACGATGTCTTGGAGACCCCTCCAGAAGGTTCCAGTCTCTTGACTAGTATATGACACAGGGTTGAAGACGTAAACACAGAATTAAACAAGAAAGTGAGGAGCCAGGATGGCCAATGCTGAGCAACCAGCAAATGCCCTGGTCAGTCCAAGCCACTGACTTTTATTGGTAATCAGATTGGGGTAAAGGAGAACTACATATGAGGATGTGTGTTTATGCAGTTGCTGTGGATACTGCAGAAAAGGTATATAAAGGAAAGGACAAAGCATTCTGAAATTTAGAGCTGAACAGACAAAATATAGGGTTGTAATTAAAACCTAGTACTATGAGTTAAGAAGGTTTTGGTGATGGGAATGGAATTTGGGAGTGAGTTATCCTGACCCTGGCTAATATGTTATCTCATGGTGAGCCCCACAGCTTCCAAGGCCATTTCTGTGGTGTGGCTGTTATCAGGAGGGCCTGCACTCTACCTAGGTGCATATGAGCTGTTTCTGTCAGTCACATAAGCTTCAGTCAGACTCACTTTTTCTTTTCTTTTTTTCCAATCATGCGGTCATTTTTTAAACTTTTATTAATTTTATTGGTACATTTCATGTGTACAGTATAATGACATTCATTGGAAATTTGTACCTTTACGTAATCAATCTTGGTTCTTATTTTTTTTCCCCCATTCCCCTGCCCTCCTTTCAAGCCCTCCCTCTCTCCCAAAATGAGCCAGTTGCGGGGTCAAATCTTTACAGCCTGCACTGCCTGCAGCCTACTTTGGGAATAATCTATAGGATGGTTCCCCACAACAATCCAGTCACCTTCCACACTCATGAGAATTTGCAGGGACATTTTAAATCTAAACCATAACACATATTTAATCTTCTTTCTTATGGATTTGGTCAATATATAAGACATAAACTTAAATGAAAGAAAGCCAAATTATAATCATTGCAGAATACGCTTCCACATCTTGAAAGTGGAGAGATTTCCTTTAAGAAGGAAAATATTCTTGTACTGGTTTATGTGGTATCCTTCCTGAATTTATGTCCAGCTGGGTGGTATAGTGTCCCCTCAAAACTCTTGTCCTAGTAGAACCTCAGAATTTGACCTCAAAAATAAGGTCCTTGTAGATCAAATTGAAATGGAATCAGTCTGGATCAAAGTTAGCCCTCATCCAATGATTGATGTAAGATTCAGACACAGAGAAAAGTGAGGGCACAGAGGGAGAACTCTTTGTGATTGGAATGACATCTTCTAGCCTAGGTATGCCAGTATAGCTGGTAAACATGAGTAGCCATGGAGAGGCAGGGAAGGATTGTTCTTTGGGCCCCACAGAGCTCTGGTACATCTTGACTCCAGACTTCTAGCCTGAAACTGTGGGATAATAAATTTCTGCTCTTTCAAACCCCGAAGTTTGTGTTTCATTTTTTCCCCAACTCTTGGGAAACAAATCATTTCTCAGTCGTACAATTAAGAGACTGCCCTACTGAAAACTAGAAACAAGCTTCTCTAGTCATACTTTTTGCTTGTTTTTATATCAGGATTTGAAAATCTCATCCTGTGCATTACTTACGTAGTATTCTAAAGAAGTTATTCTGCACAAATGTTTTATTTAATAATTTAGATAGTTTGGGAATATACATTGTTATCTGAAGAAGTATTTTCTTTATTTTGGAAATTCATAGAGTCTTTAATATACTAATATTTTCTTAAAATTATCTTCCAAAGAAAGATGTAATTTTAGAGCCTGTCCCAGTCATTTGATTGCACAATATTCCTTCTTTGAATGACAAATTGCCATCCATAGAAATTAGTATTCAAGTGCACAGTTAACGCAGTGAAACCTACATGAAGCAGTTTCAAGGATAATCAAGCAAAACTGGATGGCTGCTACCTTAATGTAGCTGCCATAAGACAGCTCCTCCTGGCGTCTCCTACTACATTTCCTTGTAGACACAGGAACTGTCTTGTTTTCTACTATTTGCAAACTGGTTTTATTGAAGCACTAGCATCTCAATCACTGTATATGGCATTCTGAAGCCAAGCAGATGAGAAAAATTATGATAGAAAAATTTTCTCTCCTTTCAAAAACATTTGGAGTTTGTTGAAATAATTTTCTCAATCATATTTGACTAGCTACTTCATTAAATTAAAACACTTTAAAAATTCTTTATAAAGCTAAAAATAATCACTGAAGCTCATTTTCAGTTTTTGCCAAGTATATCAGTGAGAAATGTGATAAAACTGGGTTTCATTTTACCAGTTTTATATACTCCCAAATAATATGCCAGTAAGGGTGAGACATAGTTCTTTGTAATTTTCACCTTATTGAACTACAAGGAATGTAGAGTGTGCTCTGTGTTTTTAAATACTTTGCGATTTATGCTAAGCATATTAATAAAAAGCAATTTTAATGACACTTGCATGAGAACTTGGAAATTCCTTAGTGTTCGGTATAATGGAGTAAATTCTTTGTCCTAAAATTCTTGTGGATCCTGCAGGATATTTATTTGTTTTTCTTTGGCCACTCTTCTGGAGATCTATCCCTTGGTGTTTTGATGGCAAAATCATTCTTTTTCTCATTTAGATAAAATTACCTTAAGGATTTGAGAACTTTTTCAAATGAGTTTTAAAAGGAAAATCTTTTTTCTGAATACATATTGACACGTAATTGATTCATCTCAATTTTTTTTAGTTCTTGGGCACTGTATCACAATTATTAATTTTACAGTTTTTTAATATTTTAAATTTTTAATTAAGTTGAAATATTCATACAAAAATTAATGAGCATTGTTTTTGATGCATTCTGAACATGTTACTACTTACGATCAAATTAGTCATTCTCTAGTTTTATATAGTGTAACAGATATACTGAAAGATTAAAAATTTCCTACAATATAATTGTATAAGATACACCATTTTCTTATACCACAGTCTGCAATTTTATAACACCCACACTTGCATTTTTAGCATTATAGGTAACTGCAGCTGATGTAAAAAGTAATTAAAGTGAATAATGATAACTTTTGTTAGGCAACATTTCCCAAGCTAAACACTATTTCAGAATGATAAACTTAGAAACCACATCCTGAGAAGCAACGATGAGAAGAGAGACATAATAAATTATAATGGCTAGATAGGTATCTGGGGCCAGAAATGTGTGAAACTTGAAAGAAAGTGTCTTTTTCAGTAATTTTGAGATTGGGACCAGATCGGTGGAGAAATGAACTTACATGTGCCATGAAAACAGCTGTATACAACAAACTAAAATAGTTTATATAAATGTTGCCAGAGTAGCCTTGCAAGGTTTTGTGTATAATATATCAAGAGCGCTGTGATTTTGAATCGCATACTTTAAAGGTAGCAGATTTCCTTTGTTTCTAACATGTGGTTGAAATGTTTTCCAGGTGCCTTCAGTGGCCGCTGTGATTTTGAATTTGACCTTTGTGCATGGGAGCAGGATCAAGACGAGGACTTCGACTGGAATCTGAAAGCCAGCAGCATCCCAGAGGCAAGCGTAGAATCAGCTGTGGACTACAGTTTGGGAAACTCATCCAATCATTACATCTTGATAAAGAGCTTTTACCCACGTCAGCCTGGGACAGCAGCCAGAATATCAAGTCCAGTGATAAATAAGAGAAGTAAAAATTGTAAGGTATGAGGAGAAACAAACAAACATTGTAACAACTGTTGATAAAGTGAAAAAGAAGATAAAATATATGAGTTTGAATTTACTCAATCTGCAATGTGTAAAGGGCATAGAGGAAGCAAGAGAGGATTATTAGAAGGCTGGAAGAATTTCCCCTGTGGATAGATTCTTTGGGTATTGAAAATTTGGAAACCACTGAAAAACTAAATGGTTAAGTTATAACAATGGATAACACAAAAAAATTAAAACGCCAGTTGGTTCTCCTCAAGGATTTAGTATTTATTTAGTATAACCACTCAACAAAAAATTAAATAGGCAGTATATTCCTTAATATCTCTAATTACTAATATTATAGGTAGAGCAACAATAAAAAGGGTGAAGAAGTCTCCAAGAAGGAAAGAGTAGACTTGACCTTAAAAATAAAAGAATTTCTGTAGGCAAGAAGAAAATATTACTTGATCCTTAGTTTGTGAAAATTTGAAGAAAGTGTGAAATTTTAAAAGTATAAATTTAAAAGTATAAATAAGCCTTTTATTTTGACTAACAGATGCACATAGTGACTACCTATTTGCAGGGTTCTTTTACCTTCTTTTATCATTTGCTTGGCTCTTTGCTTATATTCTACAGATGATTTGAGCTAGCTAAATCAGGAACGAAATTTACCTTTCCATATAATGTAAATTAAGTACTCCTGGAAGACATCACAGGAAACTTGTTTGTCAGAGTCTTGCCATTGTTTGTATTTGTGATGAGATATGCAATTTCCATAAAATCTGAGCTCATGTATTCTGACTTGAATGTTCCTTGATACATGAACTGTAAAAAGAAAGCCAATTACAAAGTTTTTGACTGATCAAATCAGGCTCACAGGGCAATTGCATGATTTAGTCTTCATTGTCTTCAAGTAATACTGCCCTGGATATTGGTGGCTATTTTAAGTCTTAATATCTGTGAAACCTTTAGTTTATCTTAGGAGTTTTTCTGTCTCATTTTGAGCTGATTTCATAAACTCTCATAGAGCAAAATCCTTCTGATGGGCTGTGAACATTTCCTGTAAGTGGTGTAATCTGCAGAGAGAAACATCTGCAGTCCAGAAAGGCCGCAACCAGGCACAAAATAACATTAAACTTGCACCGAGTTGTCAAAAATTGAGCCTTAATCAAATATAATTATCATATATCGTATTGTCTTACAAATTGCTGGATACTTTCTCAAGTATAAAATCTATGAGTGCCACAAACTTTATGTATTTTGAGTCTATGCCTATTAATCTAGCTTTATATATCTTTAGAAATTTTGAAAATTATAACTTAGTTTCAGATATAAATCTGATTAAATATTAAATATATAAAATTCTACTTTGACTTTTAAACTTTTCTGAAGAGGTGCTTTTGCGCATGTTCCAAAGATGTTTTTTTCATGCTGTGGTAACTAAGGATTTCATCAGTCTCTATTTTACCCTGGTCCCAAATTTATAGTCCCTACTATTTTAGACAACTGTAGGCAAATGATGAAGTGTACTCTGAAGAGATGTCAAAAAGTTAATGATGAATGACTTTTTATAAGTATTTATGATGCAGATTAAACATGGAGAGACAAGGAAGGGTCACATCAAGAATATTGGTGGGGGCTGGGGATTTAGCTCAGTGGTGCCGCCGCCTGCCTGGAAAGCACAAGGTCGAGAGTTCAATCCCAAGTACCAAAACAACAACAACAAAAAAACCAAAAACAAACCAAAGGTGTGAGTCAGGTAAGCAGAGGGACCTCAAAAATTTTTCAGGTGAATTACCTTTACCCTTTCACTTTGTTTAATACCATTAAGCATAGAAAATTAAAACCACCCCCTTTTAAAAGTAAGTGAATGGAGGGGTTTCAGACGGAGATCAACAGGAAAAGAGATCAAATACCTGACCAGTGAAAATGTGAAGTAACATCCTGCCAGAGAAGAATTAACGTGCATCAGACTTTTATTCCCCCTTCCTGCCTGTGATTTGGTTATGTTGTCTTCGAGGGGTGTACCGATTGACATGTGGGGTTTATTTGCATATTAACCATCTGATGTCTTCATTCATAAAGTGACTTTAAGGCAGATAGGTATTGCTTGAGGTATAAAACATACGCCTCACATCTGTTGCACAAATTGCTCAAGTGCAAAGCAGTGGCTGAATGGGACCCAAGGGTGCCACACAGCTGGGCCTGGATAACTGCTGTCAACAAGGTGCCCCAGGCCTTTTGGATTTCTCACTCCAATAAGTAATGCTGGACCGGCTTTCAGCAATCCCAGGAAACAGGCACAGTGTTCTTGTTAGAAAGTCAACCAATAGAAGAGATATTTTGGAATCCTAGAATGGTTCCTACAAACTTTTCATCAGCTCGGAAATTAGAGTGGTTATTTTACATGGTTCACCTGTTTTTTTGTCCCTTCTTTTCGAGCTAGTGCACTGCATATATTGTTTAATGACATTCTTTATACTTTAAACATTCATTTTCATTTTTCTCCCAAATGACAAGACAAAAACTTGAAAGAGCTCTGAATTCCTGTCACTGCTGGCTGCTTCTGTTATTTCTCCAGAGCGCCCTCTTACCTTCTTCTGCACTGTAACAAGATGGAAAATCTTGTAAACCTTGCACATGTCGAAATGTGACTTCCCAGTTTCTGTAAATCAGTTTTTACATGGAGAAAAGCTCCCAAGGATGCTCTTCTAGGGCTCATTCCTAAGACTTGAAGTAACATTTTGACAATTGCTGTTCTTCTGGTCTGTATACGGTGGAACTCCGAGGAGCTTGCAGAACTGATAAAGTTTCTGCAAGAATACGGGCAGATAAGCAAAAGCATATTCCATAATTTTAAGAAAAAGATCAGATCACCCGCTGTCGCCGTGACGACACTCGTCCATTTGTGAAGGCAGGGTCCTCCGGACCACATGGAGTCCTAAAGGCCCCTCCTCCACACTGTTGAACTGGGAGTAAGTCCTCAGCGTGTGAGTTCTGTGGGACACATTCAAACCAGAACCTCAAGGGATCTTGCTTTAGATGCCATATCAGAAGCGAACTCAGTTTACTCGTTATAGACTCCTGTTCAAACCTTACCGCAGCACCTTCCATACAATGAAAAATGTGATTCAAGGCTGACCTAACTTCCCTCACTGCTAATGCGCTCACAGACCAGTAGAATATATCGGAAAGTCCAATGTTCTGTCGACATCTGTTGGTAAAGGAGAGAACATTGTGGTACAGTTAAAATAAAGCGGGATTAATTGTCCTCATCACATGCAGTGTTCCTTTTCTTGGCTGCAGATCATTTTTAATTATCACATGTATGGAAACAGCCCCGGGATTCTCACCTTGACCCAGGTATCAGTCACAAACCAGACGAAGGTTCTCCTTCACCTCACCAAAGAACAAGGCAATTTCTGGAGGAGAAAAGAATTATCTCTATTCAGCGATGAAGACTTTCAACTCAAATTTGAAGGCAGAGTTGGGAAAGGTCATCGTGGTCATATTGCGCTTGATGACATCGTGCTTACAAGGAATTGCCTGTCATTCCAGAACTCCATGAAGGAAGGACCAGCGGTCGCTCTCCTAACAGGTAGGTCTTAACTTGTGTGTGTTTGGTGTGTTTGTGGTGTGGAGAATGGAAAGGAAAGAAGGGAGAAGAAATGCCATGAATGCCTAAAAATTCATTGCTTTGTCAGGAACAAGAACTTTGTGTACCCGAAAATAGATCTTCCAAGCCTTTGCTCATAAAAATGTCTTCTAAATTTTCCCCAAGCTTTGGTGTATTTCACAGTTTCTGAAGTGTCTGTTTCCTCAGTTTCCTCACAGATAAAAGAGGACTCCTGGGCTTGTAACTCCTTTCAGAATTGAGACAGTTTTCTTATCTATAAAGTGGAGAAAACGTCCACCCATTTCTTAGATTCTGAAGCTCTTACAAATGAAGAAGCAGTTGTCCACTTAATTAGTTTAATCTAATATCTGTGGTATAGTAGGCATTTATCCAATAAAATAAAAAAAGTATTTTCATTATCTCTTTCTTTTAGCATCTTTACCAGTATTCATTAGGTGATATAAGCATTGAAGCCTAAGCCTAAGCCTCCATTATTAGTATTTATTAAGAATATGTTGGTCTCATTTGTTTTGGCAAAATTACTTTTCCTGCAGAAGATCACAGGCATGTAAGTATTTTACATTTTCAGTCTTAACTGTTTATTGAAAAGCTTTCCTTTTTGGTGCCTAATGAAAATGTGTCTATGCACACATCTTAGAAATGTTTAATGATTCTGAGTATCTCAGTACTGTGAAAACACTTAACTTGGAAGTTTCCCAGACTAAACAAGGATAAATGGAATCATTTTCTGCAAGCAGTGTCAACTTCTATTAAACTTTTGAAAATGGCTGTAGTTTACTCAGACTCTTCATCTATATCCATATGCATAGCTTAACAACTCTATCAAGGATCGCTTCAAATAGAAAAGATAAGAGGAGCAAGACATATATATTTAGGTATATGCATTTGAACTAAATCTAGAATCAGTAATTAATCAAAATAAATTCAGAGCCTTTATTAGCAAAAGCGCTAAGCACTATGAAGTTATTACTGAGTCCCAAGATGTCATATTCAACAACTTACTTTGATGACGGTTTTGTTAATTGCTAAATGATGAATGATAAAAATAATTGTTTGATTAATCTGAATAAAACCAACCAGGGCTTCTCCTCTAAATGTGCGTATGCAAATTCAGCCAGTGTTATTTTCTCTGCTTATTGACAGATATATATAAATTCTAAGTAAAATCGGGGCAGAGATCGACTTTTCAGTATACATATATGTGCATGTGTTTGTGTCTAATCTTAATTTCTACTAAATGGGAGTTGTACAGTAAATCTGTTTTACTCTTTTTTCTTTTTTTTTTTTTTTTTTTTTT